CCCCCCCCCCCCATCCCTCCTCCGCGTGAGGATTAACCGTGCGCCTTTTGCAGCTACGCCGGTCTGCACTGCGTGGTCATCAAGGGCTACTCCAAGTCGGCGGGCTACCAGCCCGGCGTGCGCTTCGAAGACTCGCGCTTCCGCAACTCGTGGAACGCTGTGTACGTGGCGGGGGCGTGGCGATTCGTGCAGTGTAACTGGGGGGCGAGGCACCTGGTCAACGCCAAGGAGGTGCCAAAGGCCGGAGCCAAGGGCAAGTCCGACAGCCTAAGGTAAGTCTCCGGGCCTCGGAAGGGCGTAGACCCTCCGCCGCCAGCACTACGCACCTCGAACTCCTCTCCTCGTTCTCGTCCCGCAGATACGAGTACGACGACCACTACTTCCTCACGGACCCGCGAGAGTTCATCTACGAGTTCTTCCCGCTGCAGTCCGAGTGGCAGCTCCTCAAGACCCCCATCACCCTGCACGACTTCGAGGAGCTGCCCTTCGTCCGGTCGCTCTTCTTTCGATACGGCCTGTACTTCCCCGACGCCCACACCAAGGCCGTCATGTACACGGACGCCACAGGTGAGTGCTGACAACGACTTACACTAGGCTCCGAGGGGGTGCAGAGTGCGTGACGATGTGGCCTGTCGCAGGAGCTGCCACGGTGAGGATAGCCATGCCGGCAAATATGCAGTCCAGCCTCATCTTCCACTACAATCTCAAGTTCTACGACAGTGACGGCGACATGTTCGACGGCGTGTCCCTCAAGAGATTCGTCATGCAGGTGAGTCCCCCCCCCCCCTCCAACCACACACACTTGCACACTCGCGCGCGCGCGCCGCGCGCACCGGCAGGACCCGCTGTCCCGGCGCCACTCCTAACCGATGCACTCTTCTGCTCCATACCCGCATTCCCAGTCGGTCGTCGGCAACATCGTGGCCTTCCGAGTGCACGCGCCGTGCAGCGGCGCATTCCTCCTCGACATCTTCGCCAACGCGGTCACGCCCAAGGAGTACCTCACCGGGGAGCCCATGAAGTTCAAGTCGGTGTGCAAGTTCAAGATTGCCTGCGAGGAGCTGCAGACCGTGATGGTGCCGCTGCCGGACTGCGCTTCGGGCGAGTGGGGCCCCACCAAGGCCACTAGGCTGTTCGGGCTCATCCCCATCACCCACCAGGTAAGCGCTGTTAGGCTCTCTTGAGTCGAGCGCCTTGTGCTGCTGCTGCTGACGCCTCGCCGTGTTCTGTCCCCAGGACGCGCTGGTGTTCGCCGGCCGCGAGCTGGAGCTGCAGTTCCGCATGTCGAGACCGCTTACCGACTTCATGGCCACGCTGCACAAGAACGGCGTGGAGGAGAAGCGGCTGTCCAAGTTCGTGTCGCACGCCGTGACCGACGACGACATCGTCACGTTCATCATCAGCTTCCCAGAGGAGGGGCAGTACGGCCTCGACATCTACACGAGGGAGCTGGCCTCGGACCGGTCGCACGGCCACGGCCTGCACGGCGAGACCAACGGCGAGAAGCACCTGCTCACGCACTGCTGCAAGTACCTCATCAACTCGTCCAAGAGGAACTGAGCAGCGCTCGCCGCTCCGCCCCGCACCCCGTACCAGGGGCTGTCTCGTACTTGTGCGTGCGACGCTTCCGAACCTCTCGCTGTGAATCGTTATTTATTATTTTTCTTCCCACATAGGAAGATGTTTGCGGGCAGTAGATTGTGTTCAGTCTGCTGGGCAATGAAACTCTCCGCTACTGTATTTGTTTTCTAGTTTTTGTTTTGAAAACTTTGTAAATTTGATACGAAATTTGTAATTGCATTGACCTCATTGACCTTAATGCTAATTTGACCAAAAATGTTGTGGGGAGGATGTAGATTAGTGAGAATGGACTGAATGAGTCGGATGCAATTATCCTCTCCACAACACTTTTGCTTTTAAAATGTACCAATAAAGAATTGTTGCAGCTGGTTCTGTCTTTCATAAACAAGTGAGGAACTTTTAATTAATTTATGTATGGAGGTCAAGTTTAGAATTATGTAATTTAAACAACAAATTCAATGGTAACTAACAGCTGTTGCTGTTCTTGTCAAAATGATGACAATTTATGTGCAGATATAAAT